GCTCAGAGGTTAAGAGCACTGACTGCTCTTCCAGAGGTCCTGAGTTCAATTCCCAGCAACCACATGGTGGCTCCCAACCATCTGTAATGAGATCTGGCGCCCTCTTCTGTGTACATAATAAATAAATAAATCTTTAAAAAAAAAAATAATAATATTACAACTCAGAAAAAGTAAAAGAATATCTTATATATTCAAATATGTTATTGCAGTTATGACTTTGTGTATATTTCAGTATCTTTAAATATAGCAGTCTATTAAGTAGAGGTACAAAAGAACACCTTGGAGAAATCAGTCCCCATCTATTTTGGCATGACATCTAGACTACTGGGATGCTTCCTAAGTGTCTAACTCTCTCACCCCCTGCTTCTTTCATGCAAGTGTTGGAGTCTCTCCTAGTCTGATTTCTACTGCTATGGTAACTACCGTGACCATAAAGTCATATCATTTGGGGCGAAGAGGGTTTATTTGACTTACACTTCCAGATCACAGTCCATCATTGACGAAAGTCAAAGCAAGAACTCAAGGCAGCATCCCAGTGGCAGGAGCTGAAGCAGAACCCAGGAGGAATGCTGCGCACTGGTGTGCTCCCAGGATCTCATCCAGTTGCCTTCTTTACACCTCCTAGGACCACCTGCCCAGAGCTGGCATCAACCAAGAAGATACCCTGCAGACTTACCTTTAGGTCACTCTGATGAAGGCACTTCCTTAGTTGAGGTTTGCATCTTCCCAAATGATTTTAGTTTATGTCAAGTTGACAAAATACTAACCAACACAGAGCCCCTTCTCAGGGATTTTTTTCAGGTCCCAAGTGATGCAGCCAGAAGTGGAAGACTTCTCAAAACTGTGTATCAGGAAGATAGCTTATTGGAGACTCTGTGTACAAATCTCTGGTAGCATTTAGATCTGACAACTCCTGAGTGCAATAATGGTCATAAATATCAGCCATAACATCAGAACAACACATTCAGATGCTGTGTGTTTTTCTAAGTCATTAACCAGGTTTTAATCCCTGACCACATTTAGCATGGGGTTTATTAATTGCAACAGTTTTACCCTGTTCTGAAAACCAAAGAGGGCTTTTACCTAAAGGCCAAAGTGTAAATGTGTGATGAGCACTTTTCCTTCAGGCGAGTGACTCACTGGAGGTGTGATGACAAGCTATGTTCTGTTTGATATTTGGTCAGTGACCTGGAAGTGGAACGGCAGTCATTTTGTAATGTTAGGAAACTGGACAGGCAAGATTATTTCTAAAATAAAACTATTTTTTAAATGAGTTACCACTAATAGCCAAAACGAATAGTTATCAAAAATTGGAAAGAATGCACTCATGAAGGGAAGTCTTTCAATGTTAATTTAATGGCATCTATTACCATCCCTATGCAAGGAGTGAGGATATAAAGGCAGAGATGGTCTTGTCCTTAGGGACTTTTCAGTCTTTAGGTGAGGTTAGCCCTAAACAAATGCTTTCCAAAATATTGTAAAGTATTGTAGGATCACAGAAATTTGGGGAAAAGTTTCTTTCCCCCCAGCAAATTAGACAGTTAATATGGGGATTACAAGGGAAAAAAAGAGTATTCCAGGAACATCCATAGAGTTTGTTTAGGGATATAGAGACATTGCTACATAGGATGCTACTGTGGTTTGAATGTGCCTCCTAAAAGTTCATGTAATAGAGACAATATCCCCTAATTTATATATTAACGGTTTTTGAAGATGGGTCTTTGTGAGGTCATTAGGATTGGATGAGGTCATGAGTGGAAGTCCTTATGATGATATGAGTGTCTTTATAAGAAGGGAAGAGAGTCATAAGCTTGCATTCCTGCTCTGTCTTACCAGATGTTGTGGTTTGTGTGTGTAATATCTCCCATAGGCTCCTGAGTTTGAATCCTTGATCCCTAGTTAGTAGCACTACTTGAAAAGATTACAGAACTTTTAGGAGGTGGAGCCTGGTGGGAGGGAGTACATGACTGGGGGTGGAGCTTGAGGTTTTTATTTCCTGGCTCCATTTCCTATTCTTGCTTTACCTCCTGAGTGGATTCAGTGGGACCACCTTCCCTGCTGCTCCATGCCATTGCTGCCACGCCTCCCGACTTCCTCCTCGCCTCCCTTGACTTCCTCCGCACCTCCCCTGACTTCCTCCGCGCCTTCTTTGAAATGATAAACTATGTATAGAACTGTGGAGATCCAGGAGAGGCGCAAAGCTACACAGAGAAACCCTGTCTCGGAAAAACAAAACAAAACAAAACAACAAAACAAAACAAAACAAAACAAAACAAAACAAAACAAAACAAAACAAAACAAAACAAGAACTGTGAACCAGAATAAGCCCTTTTCCCTTTGTTGTTTCGTCAGTACATTTTATCACAGCAACAAGAACGCATAACCAAGAGACCAAGTGATGCCCTCTGACAGGTCATGGCAGGCATGGGAAGAGGACCTGGGCAGAGGCCAGTGCCAGGCTCTTAGACTTCTCAGCCTCCAGAATTGTGATTTACTAAGATTTTTTTGTAAGTTATCCTGGATTCATATTTTGTTATAGCCATAGAATAAGAATTTAAGAGATTCTTCCAGGGAACTCATCGGAGGAAGTATTCCAAAGGAAAATGTCACAACTGGACCCTGTGGTACACAGCTTTGAATACTCTTCTGATATGGAATGTACCTTGGCAACTGAATATTCATTCCCTATCCTCTTTGTCTCGTCATTAGGGTGGTGGCAATTCCATCCAGAATCCCTGTATGTGAGAAATACTTCCCAAGTAGTCACACCTCTTAGCTGCCACTCTCCCAGTCCTGCCCAGAATGGCCTTTCACGGAAGTGTTAGTACCCCTTTGTTGTGGATTTTTTCAAGTCATTAGTGGTATAGCCAGAATTTGAAACCTCCAAACATGTAAAGAAGGTAATTTATCACAGACTCTACAAATCACTGGTAGATTTTAGACCTGACAACTCTTAGTAGTGATAATGGTCACAAACATCAGAAATATCACCAATACAACCAGGAAAAAGATGCCCCAGACTCACCTGTGTGTACCAGCCCCTAAGTGTATAGTTTTTAAGAAACCAAGAGTTGGTAACCTCAGCACTGAGATGTGTAGCTGGAAGTTTTCCTGTGTCCCACCTGGTCCTGCAGCCGCTCAGACCCAAATAAATATACAGAGGCTTATATCAATTATGAATTGCATGGCCATGGACTATAGCTCAATTTTCTTGCTAGCTCGCTCTTATAACTAAACTCAGCCCTTCTCTATTAATCTGTATGTCACCACATGTTCCGTGGCTTTACTTGTGTGCCATTACATGCTGTTCCCTGGACAGCAGGATGGCATCTCCTCCGCCTCTGCCTTTCTTCTTCCTGTCTCTCTCCTGGATTTCCTGCCTGCCTCTAAGCTGCCTTGCCATAGGCCAAACAGCTTACTTATTAACCAGTGGGAACAACATATATTCACAGCATACAGAAAGACATCCCCCAGTAGAGATGGTGGCAGGAGATTTAGGAGTTTAAGGTAATTCTCAGCTACACAGCAAATTTGCAGTCTACAGGTAACCCCCTCTCAAAACAATGAAACAGGCTGGGGAGATGGCTCATTTGGACAGTGCTTGCTATGTAAGTATGAAGACTAGAGTTTGTCTGTCTCCAGCACCCATTTAAAAATGGGTGCCATGGCAGTAGTCCCAGCACTGAGGAGACAGAGGCAGGAAGACTCCTGGGGCATGCTGGCCAAGACAGACTAGCAAGTTGGTGAGTTCCCAGTTCAGTGAGAGACCCTGTCTCAAAAATATAAGGTTGGGTAGTGATTGGCAAAGGTACCCAGTGTTGACCACTGGCCTACACATATATATGAACACACATGCCCGTGAATGATCTGCCCACATACACTCTCTACACACGAGCACATATAAAATAAGCCCAAGCACAATCAATCAAAACAAAAAACAAAATAAACTACAAGGTCAAAAAGAAGGCAGAATTTGGGTAATAGGCATTAGGTTGCTTTTGTTTGTCATTTGCTCCCCTGGCTCTCTCTGTGGAAAAGCACACATAGGTGATTCATGAATGTGGCTATTTTCATCATGTTTTATCTATTTAGAGTTAAGAGTTTACCTCATTATTTCCATTTTAGACTCATAGGTTTATTCCAGTTCTCCTTATGGGTTGAGATGCCAGGCTTCTGTTATTCTTAATATATTTCCATATTGATCAGCCTTCTTCTGTGTAATCTATCTTCTTTTGGCTGCTCTGCCTCTTTCTTCTGTCTGTGTTCGCTGAGGCTCCAACTCCTTACTGACAGGCCCTCAGCTCTCTCTGCTGTCCTCATGGGTACCCTCCTTATTCCACTGTAGAGCTGGCAGTTGATGGAAGGGCACCCCCAGGTGAGACCCCCAGGTGAGACCTCCTGGTTGCCCCTTTCTGCTAGCCTCCCACCTCTCCAAGTCCCGGTGGACACCTACCTTACTTACTATAAATAATAGTTCTAGAATGGAATAGTTCCAGAAAGAAAGAAAGGAGCCACACAAACACCTGGGGATTTCTCGGGGCATTTTTCTGATACTATTTCTAGCATTTTCAGTGCTAGGTTGACTGATCAGAACATCCAGCCATGCCACCAAACCACAGGCCACCGACAGATGAGAATTCTTACTCAGCAGAATAGTTTGTTTTTCTCTTCCTGTTCTTCAGCATGACACGAAACCCAGCAGAGGGTAACTGGATAGGGCGTCCATTTACTTCTAACCAGCATCAAGTTAGTAGTAGTGACTACGAGCCCTAAAGAGTTCCAGGTCCTGTTTAACTGTCTAACTGTGCTCCCATTTCAGACTCATTCACATATGAAGCTGGAATTTAGCTTCTCCAGGAGCTTCTTTTTCGCTCAGCTAGTTAAGCCTTCTCCTTGGTTCCTCTATGCAATATGGAAATGTATGACCTCTTGCCTGAAAAATGCTTGTACAGTGAGGGACAAGGCTTTTGTTCACATCCTTCCAATTTCTTCTGTTATAGGAAATCTCAAACACGTCATATCCAAGTCTTCAAACATCTGACTATGGAAACTGTATCTCCTCTACTTGGAAGAACCAGTCAGGAGCAAGAGGCTACCCACCCCATCCCCAGATAATAGCTACAGATGATTATAAACATTGAAACTTCACAGCGATGAATTTTTCTGGCACTGGATTTTTGATGTAAGAAGGGCACATATTCATGCTCTAATCCTGTGCCCTCTTCTCACTTCATCTGGTTGTCTTCTAAATTAAAAACATTTAAGGTACCTCTTGACTCATGAAAAAAAAAAAAAAAAAACTTGCTTTGCTTATTTTTTTCCCCAGGATGTTGTTCTTGGCTGACTGGTTCTGTGATCCCTCAGAGTGCAGGGAAAGTCCATCAGAAATGCCTCTCATGGGATAAAAGAAAAAAAGAAGAGGAAGAGGAGAAGGAAGAAGGAAGAAGAAAAAAGAAAGAAAGAAGGAAAAAGAGAGAAGAGAGAGAGAGAAGGAGGGAGAGAAGAAGACGGAGAAGGAGAAGCAGCAGCAGCAGTCACCACCTAGATGTCTAGATGTCCAGGTGAAGGTAGCATATGCCATGGAAGCTATGGAAAGGCAATTGGGAGTTTGGTGCACGTCTGTGACTAACAAAATGTAGAATGCATGAGTGTCCTAAGCAAGCGAGGATGATTAAAAACATGGTGCTTTGGCAATATCCCCCCTTCAGGTCTCTCGGAGCTGCCTCAGGGATCTTGGTAGCAGTTCCAGGGCCGGCAAGGAGAGCCTCTGAAGTAGATCTGAAGGAAACTTCCCCCAAACTAGTGTGCACTCTTTCAGCTAAAACAGCAACAGCTCTGCTTTCACAGATATTATAGTATTCTTGGACAGTTTTAGGATTATTTTACATAAGCATCTCTGCTGTGAGAAACTCAAACAAGATCAAATCAATGCTGAGCTGTTGAGACTCCAGAAAGCCCTTCTACATATCCAGTTGTTGGCTATGATTGTTATACCCTACGTGTTGTTGTCTTATCTTGTCTTTGAAGAAATCAGTGTGTAGAAGAGATCAGTCTGGGGCAGGGATTCCTCCCATGCTTGGAGGAAATGCAATGTTGTCCTGAAGGTTGTGGGTCTACAGCCTCGATTTTGTTCACACAAGTATAGACAGGAGAAAGAAAGAGAAAAGTATAGACAGGAGAAAGAAAGAGAAAAGTATAGACAGGAGAAAGAAAGAGAAGCCCAGGCTTCTGTATCCCGGGCTCAGCTGCTCCCTCCCTGCACTTTTTTTTTTTCCCCAAGCACAGGCAGCTTTTCAGTCTCTGGTAGGCACACACACCTCCTCCACCAGTTTTTTGTTTCTGTCTGAAGCAGCATGGCAGCAACAGCCGACAGAAACTTAGCAGGAGGCCCAGATACTGCCTTTCCTGGTTTCAGAGCCATCTAATCAGGGCTGAAAGGAACAAAAATACGCCCACAGGGAGAGAGCCAGAGACGTAGTTACTTACCCAGTCAGTGGTGGGGAGCATCAGTGTTCGTGTAACATCCAAGGCTATGCGAATTAGTTCCGATGACCCGATCCACAAAAACTGAACATGAGTGTAACTTTCTATCTTGTTTCACCCAGACCCCAGCCTACCGGGTGGTGCTGCCTACATTTAGGGCTTCACCTTCCCTGCTGGGCCATATGTCAATCAATTCGAGGAACACCTTCCCAGATACCCCCAGTGTTGTGCTTTCCAGATTTCTCAGCTATCTCTTAATCCAATGAAGTTGGCAAAATTAATCATCAAAAAGTAAGAAGACTCAAAACAAAAAATACCTAGTAAACAAAAGAAAAATCCAACCACCTTGCTGCCATTATGCTTTCAAGAAAGAGCAGTTGGCTGTCCTGAGAGTAGAGAAGGTGTTATCTCAGAATAAAAGACAGGCCTGTGAATTGTACCAAGGAGGGTCTGCTGAAGTTATCATGTGCCTTTGCACTGCGGAGATGAATGTGAGGCATGCTCATTCTTTGGGGAACATGCTCTCGGTGACTCACTCGGATTGTATTGTGTGACCATCCCACCATCAGTCCTGCCAAAGTATTCTTCTTCAGTCACTTTGTCAGACAGGGAAATGTCGGGGAGGAGCAAGGTGTGAAAGCTCATAGACACTTTCGCGTCTCCCGCTTAAATGCTTTCACACCGCATGTCGAGAATTACGTCTCTGCTTATGAACCGGGTTAATCTGGCCACCTTCTTTTTGCTTGCTTCCTCATAAGGCTCCAGTTTCTTCTCGAATAAAACCGCACTTCCTCTGTGGCCTCTCGGCTCCGTCCTGCTGTGCGTGCAGGAGCGGGAATGGTTTGCCACCTGTACTCTTCTCAACACTGCTCACAGCCATCCGACATTGGATCCTTGAGGATCAAGTTCCCCTCCACTTTTCACAGGTTAGGAGCCAAAGGCTAAGAGAGGCAGATGGCTGCCCAGGAGTGGCAAAGGAGGCTTAGCCATGAACCTCTGAATATCGGGTAGCAATCCCTTCAGTCCTCTTGCCCATGGGAACTTCCTCTTACACCTTCACCACTGGTCAACCCAGTTCCTCCTCCCCTGTAGGAGTCTTTTCCTTTCACACTGCCTGTTCCTCGCTTTGAAGTTACAGACACGAGACTGTGGCTACCTGTGTCTTGGTTTTCCTTCACATTCTCCATGCTGACTTTTCTTATAAAAGTACTTCATTCTAGGCCAGAGATTCCCCCAAATTCCTCCCAATAAAGAATGATACTCTCTAACATATAATGATGGGGCCTTCAAGGTGGTCTTAGACCTCTGTCCCTGGTACTAGCAATTACTCAGAAGATAAAACTTGCTTGTCAAACAAACAAACAAACCAACAACAAGTGGAAATTGAGTGGGAACATGGCTCAGTTGGTAAAGTGTTGGCTGTGCTGATTTTTCATACCCAGCCCCCCATACAAAAACTAGGGTCTGGTGGCATGAGCCTAAAATCTCACTACTGCAGGAGGTTGAGACTGGTAGATCCCAGGGCTAGCTGGCCCGTGTAGCCAAGCAGGGGGATTCAGGCTCAGCGAGAGACGCTGCCTCAAAAAACAAGGTGGGAGGTAGACATCAACTGATAAAGGTACCCAAGGCCAACCGCTGGCCTCCACATACATCCACACATGTATGTGCACACACATGAACAAAGAGACACAAACAAATATGCATGAAGAAAGAATATTGTCTGGAGAGATGGCTCAGAGGTTAAGGGCAGCGGCTGCTCTTGCAGAGGACCCAAGTTCAGTTCCCCGCACCCCCATGGTGGCTCACAACTATCCAAGTTCCCAGGGATCCAGTGTTCTCTTCTGGTCTTTGTGGGCACTAGGTGCACTGTGGTACACACAAGCAAACACTGTTATGTGTAAAAATAAATCAGCCTGAAAAAAAAGAATAAATTAAAATACAGAATTCTCGTTTTCCCCAGATGGCATTTGCAGTAGCTTCAAATGTTGTTTTTATCCCACACTTGAAATTTCATCTGTTGCATAAGGGTTTGGTGAATTTTCTTCTTGAGAGACAGATGTATCAAAATTTCAGATTTGTCCCAGTAGAGCTCAGTTTAATCGGTTTAATTTACTTAAATTATAAAAATACCTTTGTGTGGTGGTTTGGATGAGAAATCTCCCCTACAGGCTCAGATATTTGGACACTTGATCTCCGAGATGTAAGGGAGCCCCTCCCCCAAGTCGGTACAGGACACACCCAGATACCAAATTCTCAGCACAGGGGAGATTTATTATCCTGGAGGGGCGAAGTGTGGGCTGCAAAGGCAGACAGCAAGTAGCAGCAGTAACCAAGAAAGGTGTTTTTTTGTTTGTTTTGCAGGAGTGGGTTTTTAAGAGAAAAGAGGGGAGTCTGTGGTAGGGTGAGTTGGTTAATCCTGATTGGCCATATTAACCAAATAATGAATTTTGATTGTTGGACCTCTGTGTTCTGTCCCAGGAATGAGTCAGTGGGCGAATAAGGATGTGGACCTTGGGGGCTCACTTTAGGGTGTAATCTAACGGGTTTGAGCAAGGGGCAGAAGGGTAAAAGGCAAACCCCGTCAGTGCCGTGTTTGCGATGCTCCGGCCTGTTAGAGTCCTTCCTGAGCACTGTTTGGAGGATGTGCAACCTTCAGGAGGTAGACCATAGCTGGAGGAAGTGCAGCATTGAGGGCCGGCCTGGAGTTTATAGCTTTCTGTACTCCCAGTCACCCTCTCTCTGCATCGAGCCTGCCAAATTACCCACTCCTCCCCCGACCCCACAGCCCCCTTTGGCAGTGGGGATTGAACCCAAGGTCCTGTGCACACTAAACAAATACTCTACTCTGCTACTGAACTACATCTCCCGTATTTTGACATAATTCTTGGATGAAATCACTGAAATGAAAAACATGTGGATGCCAGATGAAGGCTTTAGATACGGGACAGTAGGGCTATGGTGGTATTCTATTTGTACGGAAATGTGATTTTAATTGTATGTTAATAAATAAAGTTGCCCGGGGGTCAGAACTATTAGAGTCATAGCAAGAGCGTGGTGGTGGTGGTGGCGGCTGCGGTGGCTGCGGCGGCTGCGGCGGCGCATGCCTTTAATCCCAGCACTTGGTAGAAGAGCTAGGTAGATCTCTGTGTGTTCAGGGATACAGCCAGCATTGGAGACATACGCCTTTAAGACCTAGGGGGCTGTACTTACAGGCAGTGATGAGGCAGTCATGTGTTTGGGTTTACAACCAATGAGAAGGCAGAACAGAAAGACTATATTAAAGACAAACACACAGGAAGTAGGTCTCTTTCAGAGAGGTAGGAGCACCGCAGGAGGAAGGGTGAGATTTTAGCTCTGAGCTCTGACCTCTTGGCTTTCCTTTTTGGATTGGTTCTGTGTTTCTTATTTAATAAGACAGTTGGTTACATCTACATGGGGCATTGGCTTTTATTGTGTAGGTGGTGGTAACCTTTCGCAGAGATCTTTGGGAAGAGAACTCTGGGACCGTGGAAAGCTTCTATCAGTACATGAAGCACTGTGTATCATCCATGTCGCCAGGGGGTTTGGTAGTGGAAAAAAACCCTCCAGTTTAATCCCCAACTAATTAAGAAATTCTGGGGATAACACCCCAGTTGGACAAAACCCAAAATTTAGAGACTCACCAATTTGGAGGAGCAATGGAGGCAGAGTGAGTACCAGCTATCAGAGGCTCAGGGCAGTCAGGGAGCTGGAGTGGAGAACAGGGCGTGTGGAAAGAATGGTGGTGTGGATATAACCAACCGTCTTATTAAAATAAGAAACACAGAACCAATGTAAAAGAGAAAGCCGAGAGGTCAGAGCTCAGAGCTAAAATCTTACCTCCTGCAGTGCTCCTAGCTTCCCTGAAAGAGAGAGCAACTTCTTGTGTCTGTCTTTAAATAGTCTTTCTGTTCTGCCTTCCCATTGGTTGTAAACCCAAGCACATGACTGCCTCATCACTTCCTGTAAGTACCGCCCTCCAGGTCTTAAAGGCATATGTCTCCAATGCTGGCTGTATCCCTGAACACACAGAGATCTACCTAGCTCTTCTACCAAGTGCTGGGATTAAAGGCATTTGCCGCCGCCGCCGCCGCCGCCACGACGCTCTTGCTATGGCTCTAATAGCTCTGACCCCTGGGCAACTTTATTTATTAACATACAATGAAAATCACATTTCAGTACAAATAAAATACATGGTGTGATATCGAGCACTGATTGACAGCCTGACAGGCTGTGCACACCTGTGAGGGTTTACCTTAATCAGGTTAACTGAGGTGGGAAGGCACACCCTAAAGGAGGATGGTACCAGCCCTTGGGCTGAAGTCCCAGACCACAGAAGGAGAAACCTAGCTGGGTGCAGAGTTCATCACATTCTGCTTCTTGTGGAATCAGTGTGACCAGATTCCTCAGGCTCCGGCCACCATGACTTCCTTGCCAAAGTGGACTTTATCTTCTCAAACTATAAGGTGAAATAAATCCTTCCTTCCTTGAGTTGTTTTTGTAAGGAAGGGTAATTTATCACAGCAACAAGAAATGTAACTTATGCATGTATTAATCTGTCCCTGGAAGAGTGCTTCAGGCATTTTGTGGGGTGCCTACTTAAACACAATTTTAGAAGTTGCTCAATCCTGGTACTACCTCTGAAGCTTTTCACTTATTCATCCATTCCATAGATACTTGAATTGGGAGCCATTCAGTACTGCTAAGGAGAATGCATGCCAATCCCTCCATGACCGTCACTGGTTTTATTGGACCAGCCCTTCCATGAGCTCTGTAGGTAAAAACCGAAAGCCTTTAGTTATTAGTGGCTGTGCTGATTAGTTTTATGTCATCTTGACCCAAGCTAGTCATGTGGGGAGAGGGAAACTCAACTGGGAAAACGTGTCTAAAGACTGGTCTGTGGTGCACTGGGAAAATTAGTGATGATGGGGGGAAGGCCCAGAGCACTGTGGTGGTGCCACCCCTGGGCTGGTGATCCTGGGTACTGTAAGAAAGCAGACTGAGCAAGACAGTAAGCAGCACTGCTCTATATCCTCTGTATCAGTTCCTGGCCCTGGCTTCCCGACTTCCAGAAGTGATGAACTGAAGTATAAGATAAAATAAACCTCCCCAAGTTGCTTTTAGTCATAGTGTCTTATCACAGCACTAGACACCCTAACTAAGAAAGTGGCAGACGGCCGGGCGGTGGTGGCGCACGCCTTTAATCCCAGCACTCGGGAGGCAGAGGCAGGCGGATCTCTGTGAGTTCGAGGCCAGCCTGGGCTACAAAGTGAGTCCCAGGAAAGGCGCAAAGCTACACAGGGAAACCCTGTCTCGAAAAACAAAAAAAAAAAAAAAAAAAAAACAAAAAAAAAGAAAGAAAGAAAGAAAGAAAGAAAAAGAAAAAAGTGGCAGACAGTGGCAAATTCTCTGAAGTCCCCCTCCTGTTAACCAAAAACACCTTTAAAGGTCAAACTGGCATTTGCATTGTCAAGAGACTGAATTTCTTTATAATTTTCCTGTCCACTTTTACTTGACCCAACAAGTAGCCGTGAAGTCCTGAGCCATCATTTACAAAAATCCAGCGGTTCTTAGCAGTATCTTCTTAGAAAACAATTTCATATGATGTCTAAGTAGGCGAGTCCCAGGCCGCCAGACCAGAGGTAGGTGTAGCAGAGCTCTGTTGCAGGCAAAAGAAGGCTGACTCGTTGCTTTCAGCTGGTAAGAATTCAGCCATTGCAAGACCATCCAGAACTCTGGGAAGGCAGGCAAAAAGTGACCAGTCAAGTACTACAGCTGCTCAGATTTGTAGCAAGGAAAGACACTCAACACTGGATGCCAGTGGCTTACATCTTAGCCTACTGCAAATGGATAATGGATGTTGTCCCTACCGATAACACTGAGGCTCTTAGCATGGCTTCCCCTTAGACAGTATCTTTGCTTCAAAAGTTAGGGTGAGGAGCCCAGATGCAAAGTGGTCAGGATAACAAGTTTTTGTATCTAGAGATAATGTTAAAGGGCTTCTTACGTAAAATATCATTTGTTTAAAAGGGGCGCTGTTTTGCCTTCAGGTTCCCTGACTGCTTTATCCACTGTGCTCAGAGGTACTTGTCAGGCTCCCAGGCACCCGTAAAGAATGACGAGTTCTAACAGATCACTGGAAAAAACAAGGGAGAACAAAGACTTTTATAGCGAACTTGAAACTCTCCAGTTTGGACAACTGAGTAGGAATAAAATGTAGTGAATTCAGACTCAAAGACGTCAAGATGAATGTTCCCTCATGTGACAAAGCAGAAGCCAAACAGGAAAAGTTCCTTTGTGGTCTGGTACTCTTCCCAGCATCGTTTATACAACCCCACTCTTGGTCTCTATTTCCTCTCCTGATGAAATACTTTGACTCAACTGTTAGATATTATTAATTAATGGATTTGTTTTTTTAGACAGTCTTATGTGGCACAGTTTGGCTCCCAACTAGCTAGATAGCCCAAGGATGACCTGAATTCCTGATCCTTCTGCCTCCCCCAAAGCACTGGGCTATAGGCATGCACCACCACACTGGGTTTAGGATTGTTGAATTCCTGAGACTTCCACGGGCAGTTAACATTTTTCCAACACAATGTTTCAGTTCTCAGACATTACCAGGTAATCTACTTCTGCTCTTTTAAACGAATGTCTTTGTTTCCAAGTTTTAAATT